TTGGAATTTTCAGCCTTTCTGCTATGGTTTCTCTCTATCTTTGGGGTTCCATATACCTTTGGTCTTTGATGTTGCTGATCCACGGATGGGGTTTTCGTGTGGATGTTTTTGTTGTTGTTGTTGTTGTTGATGTTGATGCTATTCCTTTCTGTTTGTTAGTTTTCCTTCTAACAGATAGGCCTCTCAGCTGCAGGTCTGTTGGAGTTTGCTGGAGGTCCGCTCCAGACCCTGTTTGCCTGGGTATCACCAGGAGGGGCTGCAGAACAGTGAATATTGCTGCCTAATCCTTCCTCTGGTAGCTTTGTCCCAGAGAGGCACCCGCCTATATGAGGTGTCTCTCAGCCCCTACTGGGAAGTGTCTCCCAGTCAGCTACACTAGGGTCAGGTACCCACTTGAGGAGGCAGTCTGTCCATTATCAGAGCTTGAACACCATGCTTGGAGAACCACTGCTCTCTTCAGAGCTGTCAGACAGGGATGGTTATGTCTGCAGAAGCTGTTTGCTGCCTTTTGTTCAGATATGCCCTGCCCCCAGAGGTGGAATCTAGAGAGGCAGTAGGCCTTGCTGAGCTGTAGTGGGCTCTGACCAGTTAGAGCTTCCCTGCCACTTTTTTTTTTGCATTGTGAGAATAGAACTGTCTACTCAAGCCTCAGCAATGGCTGACATCCCTCCCCTCACCAAACTCCAGCATCCCAGGTCAATCTCAGACTGCTTCACTAGCAGTGAGGAAGGCTTTGAGGGTGTGGGACCTCCTGAGCCAGGCATGGCAGGGTATCTCCTGATTTACCAGTTGCAAAGACCACGGGAAAAGCACAGTATTTGGACAGGAGTGTACTGTATCTCCAGGTACAGTCACTCAAGGCTTTCCTTGGCTTGGAATGGGAAATCCCCTGGACACTTGCACTTCCCTGGTGAGGTGACACCTTGCCCTGCTTCATCTCACCCTCTGTGGATTGCACCCACTGTCCAACCAGTCCCAATGTCATGAACCAGGTACCTCAGTTGGAAATGCAGAATTCACCCATCTTCTTCATTGATCTTACTGGGAGCTGTAGACCAGAGCTGTTCCTATTCGGCCATCTTGGAAGTGACACCAATGATGAGATTTTTTTCATATGTTTGTTGGCCACATAAATGTCTTCATTTTTATTAAAAAAAAAAAAAAAACCTGGGATACATGTGCAGAATGTATAGGTTTGTTACATAGGTATACATGTGCCATGGTGGTTTGCTGCAACTACTGACCAATCCTCTAAGTTCCCTCCCCTCAACCCCACTCCCGTACAGGCCCTGGTGTGGGCTGTTCCCCTCTCTGTGTCTATGTATTGTCAATGTTCAACTTCTACTTATGAGTGAGCACATGCTGTGCTTGGTTTCCTGTTCCTATGTTAGTTTGCTGAGGATGTTGCCTTCCAGCTTCGTCCATGTCCCTGCAAAGGACGTTATTTCATTCTTCTTTATGCCTGCATAGTATTTCATGGTGTATGTGTACCACATTCTCTTTATCCAGTCTATCATTGATGAGTATTTGGGTTGCCTCCATATCTTTGGTATTGTAAATAGTGCTGCATGAAACATTCATGTGCATGTGTCTTTATAGTAGAATGATTTAATTCCTTTGGGTATATACCCAGTAATGGAATTGCTCAGCCAAATTGTATTTCTGGTTCTAGATCCTTGAGGAATCAGCACAATGTCTTCCGCAATGGTTGAACTAATTTACAGTCCCACCAATAGTGTAAAAGTGTTCCTATTTCTCCACAGCTTTGCAAGCATCTATTGTTTCCTGACTTTTTAATAATTACCACTCTAACTGGCATGAGATGGCATCTCATTGTGGTTTTTTATTGAGATAATCATTGTGGTTTTGATGTGCATTTATGTGATGATCAGTGATGTTGAGCTTTTTTTATATGTTCATTGGCCATGTAAATGTCTTCTTTAGAGAAATATCTGTTCATATCCTTTGCCCATTTTTTGATGAGGTTGTTTGTTTTTTCTTATAAATATGTTTAAGTTTATTGCCTATTCTGGATATTAGACCTTTGTCAGATTGATAGATTGCAAAAATTTTCTCCTATTCTGTAGGTTGCCTGTTCACTCTGATGATAGTTTTGTTGTTGTTGTTGTTGTTTGTTTTTTTTGCTGTGCAGAAGCTCTTCAGTTTAATTAGATTCCATTTGTCAATTTTGGCTTTTGTTGCCATAGCTTTTGGCGTTTTAGTTGTAAAGTCTTTGACCATGTCTATGTCCTGACTGGTATTGCCTAGGTTTTCTTCTAGGGATTTTATGGTCCTAGGGTTTACATTTAAGTCTTTAACCCATCTTGAGTTAATTTTTTATAAGGTGTAAGGAAGGGGTCAAGTTTCAGATTTCTGCATACTGCTAGCCAGTTTTTCTGGTACTATTCATTAAATAGAGAATGATTTCCCCATTGCTTGCTTTTTTTCAGGTTTGTCAATGATCAGATGGTTGTGGATGTGTGGCATTATTTCTGAGGCCTCTGGGATGCAAGACTGATTCAAAGTATGCAAGTCAGTAAACCTAATCCATCACATAAATAGAACCAATGACAAAAGCCACGTGATTATCTCAATAGATGCAGAAAAGGCCTTAGACAAAATTCAACACCTCTTTATACTAAAAACTCTCAATAAAGTAGGTATTGTTGAAAGGTATTTCAAAATAATAAAAGCTATTTATGACAAACCCACAGCCAGTATCATAGTGAATGGACAAAAACTGGAGGCATTTTCTTTGAAAATTGGCACAGGACAAGGATACCCTCTCTCACTACTCCTATTCAATACGGTATTTGAAGTTGTTTGTTCTTGCTTATTTAGTTCCTTGTTTTGTTTTTTGTTTGTTTTTTTTTTTGACAGAGTTTCACTCTTGTCACCCAGACTGGAGTGCAATGGCACAATCTTAGCTTACTGCTACCTTCACCTCCCGGTTTCAAGTGATTCTTCTGCCTCATCCTCCCGGGTAGCTGGGATTGCAGGTGTGCACCACCATGCCTGGCTAATTTTTTTGTATTATTAGTTGAGATTGGGTTTCACTATGTTGGCCAGGCTTGTCTCTAACTCCTGACTTCAGGTGATCCACCCACCTCAGACTCGAAAAGTGCTGGGATTAGAGGCGTGAGCCACCTTGCCAGGCCTCTTTAGTTTTTTCAATTGTGATGTTAGGGTGTCAATTTGAGATTTTTTTTTCTCGAGATGGAGTCTTGCTCTGTCACCCAGGTTGGAGTGCAATGGCATGATCTCGGCTCACTGCAACCTCTACTTCCTGGGTTCAAGTGATTCTCCTGCCTCAGACTCCTGAGTAGCTGGGATTACAAGTGCATACCACTATGCCCTGCTCTTTTTTTTTTTTTTTTTTTTTTTTTTGTATTTTTAGTAGAGACATGGTTTCACCATGTTGGCCAGGCTGGTCTTAAACTCCTGACCTCGTGATCCATCCACCTCAGCCTCCCAAAGTACTGGGATTACAGGTGTGAGCCACCATGCCTGGCTGTTTTGAGATCTTTCCAGTTTTCTGATGTGGGCATTTATTGCTATAAATTTTACTCTTAACACTGCTTTAGCAGTGTCCCAATGATTCTGGTATGTTGTCTCTTTGTTCTCATTGATTTCAAATAACTTCTTGATTTCTGCCTTAATTTCGCTATTTACACAGGAGTCATTCAGGAGTAGGTTGTTCAGTTTCCATGTTGTTGTGCGGTTTTGAGTGAGTTTGATTGCACAGTGGTTGAGGGACTGTTTGTTATGATTTCAGTTCTCTTGCATTTGCTGAGGAGTGTTTTACCTTCAATTATTTGGTCAATTTAGAATAAGTGCCACATAACACTTAGAAGAATGTACATTCTGTTGATTTGGGGTGGAGAGTTCTGTAGATGTCTGTTATGTCCTCTTGATCCAGAGTTGAGTTTAAGTTCGGAATATTCTTGTTAATTTTCTTTCCCGTTGATCTGTCTAATATTGACAGTGGAGTGTTAAAGTCTTCCACTATTATTGGTGGAAGTATAGTTCTCTTCGTAGTTCTCCAAGAACTACATGAATCTGGGTTCTCCAATGTTGGGTGCATATATATTTAGGATTGCTAGCTCTTCTTGTGTGTTGATCCCTTTACCATTATGTAATTATCTAGTTTGTCTTTTTTGATCTTTGTTTGTTTAAAGTCTGTTTCATCAGAGACTAGGATTGCAGCCTCTGCTTTTTGCTTTCCATTTGCTTCATAAATATTCCTCCATCCCTTTATTTTGTGTCTTTGCACATGTGATGGGTCTCCCGAATACAGGGCACTAATGGGTTTAGATTCTTTATCCAATTTGCCAGTCTGTGCCTTTTAATTGGGACCTTTAACCTATTTACATTTAAGGTTAATATTGGTATGTGTGAATTTGGTATGGTCATTATGATGCTAGCTGGTTATTTTGCACATTATTTGTTGCAGTTTCTTCATAATGTCATCGGTTTTGATATTTTGGTGTGTTTTTGCAGTGACTGGTACTGGTTTTCTCTTTCCATATTTAGTGCTTCCTTCAGGTTCTGTTGCAGGGCAGGCCTGGTGGTAACAAAATCTTTTAGCTGTCACTGAAGCTGTGACTGCAGCCACCTTTCCTCCCAGGTGCTCTGTCCCAGGAAGATTAGAGTTTTATCTGTAAGCCCCTGGCTGCATTTCCTGCAGAGATGCCCTGCCCAGTGAGGAGAAATCTAGAGAAGATTTTCTGCAAAGGATTTTATTTTTTCTTTGCTTACAAAACTTAATTTAGCTAAATATGAAATTCTGGGTTGAAAATTCTTTTTTTAAGAATGTTGGATATTGGTCCCCCACTATCTTCTGGCTTGTTGGATTTCTGCTAAGAGATACGCTCTTATTCTGATGGTCTTTTCTTTGTAGGTAACCTATCTTTCTCTCTGGCTGCCCTTAACATTTTTTTCTTCATTTCATCCTTGGAGAATCTGATGATTATGTGCCGTGGGGTTGATATTCTTGTGGAGTATCTTAGTGGTGTTCTGTATATTTTCTGAATTTGAATGTTGGTCTGTCTTGCTAGGTTGGGGAAGTTCTCTTGTATAATATCCTGACGTGTGTTATCCAGCTTGGTTCCATTCTCCCCATTACTTTAAGGCACACCAATCAGTTGTAGGTTTGGTGTTTTCACATAGTCCTCTATTTCTTGTAGGCTTTGTTCATTCCTTTTTTTTCTCTCTCTCTAATCTTGTCTGCGTGCCTTATTTCAGCAAGGTAGACATCAATCTCTGATGTTATTTCTTCCACTTGTTCAATTTGCCTGTTTATACTTGTGTATGCTTCACGATGTTCTCATGCTGTGTTTTTGAGCTCCATCACGTTATTTATGTTCCCCTCTAAACTGGTTATTCAATTAGCAGTTCCTGTAACCTTTTTTCAAGGTTCTTAGCTTTCTTGCATTGGGTTAGAACATGCTACTTTAGCTCAGAGTATGTTGTTATTCCCACCTTCAGTAGCCTACTTCTGTCAATTCATCAATCTCATTATCCATCCAGTTTTGCACCCTTGCTGAAGAGGTGTTGCGATCCTTTGGAGGAGAAGAGGCATTCTGGCTTTTGGAATGTTCAGCGATTTTCCTCTTTTTTTTTTTTCTCATCTTCTTGGATTTATTTATCTTTGATCTTTGAGTCCTACTACCCTTGGATGGGTTTTTCTGGGTAGTCTTTTTGTTGATGTTACTGTTGCTTTCTGTTTGTTAGTTTTTCTTCTAACAGTCAGACCTCTCTTCTGCACGTCTGCTGCAATTTGCTGGAGGTTTACTCCAGACCCTGTTCACCTGGGTATCACCAGCGGAGGCTACAGAACAACAAAGATTGCTGCCTGCTCCTTCCTCTGGAAGCTTCTTCCTAGAGGGGCACTGTCCTGATGCCAGCTGGAACTCTCCTGTATGAGGTGTCTGTCAACCCCTGTTGAGAGGTATCTCCAAGTCAGGAGACGTGAGGTTCAGAAACCCACTTGAGAAGGAGTCTGTCCCTTAATAGAGCTGATGTACTGTGCTGGGAGAATTCCCCTTTTCAGGATCAGCTGCTCTCTTTATTGCTGGCAGGCAGAAAAGATTAAGCTCACTGAATCTGTGACTGCAGCCACCTTTCCACCCAAGTGCTCTGTCGCAGGAAGATGAGAGTTTTATCTGTAAGCCCCTGGCTGGTGTTGCTGTGTTTCCTGCAGAGATGCCCAGCCCAGTGAGGAGGAATCTAGAGAAGCAGTCTCACCACAGCTGCTTTTCCATGCAGTGGTAGATTCCACCCAGTCCAAACCTTCCAGTCTCCTTAGCACCATCAGGGGAAAACTGCTTACTAAAGCCTCAGTAATGACAGTCACCTCTCCCCCCACCAAGCTTCAGTGTCCCAGATCGACTCCAGACTGCTGTGCTGGCAGTGAGAATTTCAAACCAGTGGTTCTTAGCTTGCTGGGCTCTGTGGGAGTGGAATTTGCTGAGCAGGACCACTCAGCTCACTGGCTTCAGCCCACTTTACAGGTGAGTGGATAGTTCTGGCTCTCTGGAGTTCAAGGTGCTGTTGGAGTATAAAAGGACCCTGATGCTCTTGCCAGGCATCCTCATGGAAGTGACATCGTCTTTAAACCCTGCGTGGCAATCCCTGACGCACTGCCGCGATGCCCAGGGAAGACACGGCGACCTGGAAGTCCAACTACTTCCTTAAGATCATCCAGCTATTGGATGATTATCCGAAATGTTTCATCGTGGGAGCAGACAATGTGGGCTCCAAGCAGATGCAGCAGATCCACATGTCCCTTTGCGGGAAGGCCGTGGTGCTGATGGGCAAGAACACCATGATGCAGTTTCCCACCTCTGGAGAAACTGCTGCCTCATATCCAGGGAAATGTGGACTTTGTGTTCACCAAGGAGGACCTCACTGAGATCGGGTATATGTTGCTGGCCAATAAGGTGCCAGCTGCTGCCCATGCTAGTGCCATTGCCCCATATGAAGTCACTGTGCCAGCCCAGACTGGACTTGGGCCTGAGAAGACCTCCTTTTTCCAGGCTTTAGGTATCACCACTAAAATCTCCAGGAGCACCATTGAAATCCTGAGTGATGTGCAGCTGATCAAGACTGGAGACAAAGTGGGAGCCAGTGCATTGTTGAACATGCTCAACATCTCCCCCTTCTCCTTTGGGCTGGTCATCCAGCAGGTGTTCAACAATGGCAACATCTACAATTCTGAAGTGCTTGACATCAGAGGAAACTCTGCATTCTCGCTTCCTGGAGGGTGTCCGCAATGTTGCCAGTGTCTGTCTGCAGATTGGCTATGCAACTGTCGCATCAGTACCCCATTCTATCATCAACGGGTACAAATGAGTCCTGGCCTTGTCTGTGGAGACGGATTACACCTTCCCACTTGCTGAAAAGATCAAGGCCTTTTTGGCTGATCCATCTGCCTTTGTGGCTGCTGCCCCTGTGGCCGCTGCCACCATGGCTGCTCCTGCTGCTGCTGCTGCAGCCCCAGCTAAGGCTGAAGCCAAGGAAGATTCGGAGGAGTCGGACGAGGATATGGGATTTGGTCTCTTTGACTAATCACCACAAAGCAACCAACTTAGCCAGCTTTATTTGCAAAACGAACAAATAAAGGCTTACTTCTTAAAAAAAAAAAAAAAAAAAAAAAAAAAAAAAAAAAAAAAAGAACCCTGATGCTTGGTGCCTGCCCAAACAGCTCCCCAGTTTTGTGCTTGAACCCCAGGGCCCTAGTGGTGTAGGCTCGCAAGGGAATCTGACCTGCAGATTGCAAAAAACATGGGGAAAGTGTAGTGCCCAGGATGGGCAGCACAGTTCCTCATCACTTCCTTTGGCTGGGGGAGGGAGATCCGCTCACTCCATGCCATTCTTGGGTGAAGTGACGCTCCACCCTGCTTTTGCTCACTCTCCATGGATTGTACCCACTGCCTAACCAGTCCCAGTGAGATGAACTGGGTACCTCAATTGGAAATGCAGAATCACCCACTTTCTGCATTGTTCTCACTGGGAGCTGCAGACCAGCGCTGCTTCTATTTGGCCATCTTGGCCCCTCCACCACTCCTTATCATTACATAGTAACTTTTTTTGGGTCTATTCTTGCAATTTTTGTCTTGGATTCTATTTTGTCTGATAGAAGTATAGCTACTTCTGCTCTTTTTTGTTGTCTATTTTAATGGAATATATTTTCACATCCATTTATTTTTAGTCTATGTGTGTCTTTATATGTGAAATGTGTTTCCTGTAGGCAAGACGTCAATGGGTCTTGTTTTTTCATCCATTCAGTCACTCTATGTCTTTTGATTGTAGCGTTTAGTTCATTTACATTCAATAATTTTATTGGTAAGTAAAGACTTACTCTTGAAAACTTGACGTTCGGTTTTTGTTGTTCTTGTTGTTGTTGTTTTGTGGTGTTCTCTTCTTTTTTAATTTCCTTCCTGTCTTATTTTAGGGAAGGTAATTTTCTCTGGGGATGTAATTTAGTTTCTTGGGTTTTTTTATTTTTATTTTTTGTGCATCTGTTGTATATTGTTTTGTTTTAGGTTACCATGAGTCTTGCAAATTATAACTCAGTGTTTTTTATTTATTTATTTATTTATTTATTTATTATTATTATACTTTAAGTTCTAGGGTACATGTGCATAACGTGCAGGTTTGTTACATATGTATACTTGTGCCATGTTGGTGTGCTGCACCCATCAACTCGTCAGCACCCATCAACTCGTCATTTACATCAGGTATAACTCCCAATGCAATCCCTTCCCCCACCCCCTCCCCATAATAGGCCCTGGTGTGTGATGTCCCCCTTCCCGAGTCCAAGTGATCTCATTGTTCAGTTCTCACCTATGAGTGAGAACATGCGGTGTTTGGTTTTCTGTTCTTTTGATAGTTTGCTACGAATGATGGTTTCCAGCTGCATCCATGTCCCTACAAAGGACACAAACTCATCCTTTTTTATGGCTGCATAGTATTCCATTGTGTATATGTGCCACATTTTCTTAATCCAGTCTGTCACTGATGGACATTTGGGTTGATTCCAAGTCTTTGCTATTGTGAATAGTGCCGCAATAAACATACGTGTGCATGTGTCTTTATAGCAGCATGATTTATAATCCTTTGGGTATATACCCAGTAATGTGATGGCTGGGTCATATGGTACATCTAGTTCTAGACCCTTGAGGAATCGCCATACTGTTTTCCATAATGGTTGAACTAGTTTACAATCCCACCAACAGTGTAAAAGTGTTCCTATTTCTCCACATCCTCTCCAGCACCTGTTGTTTCCTGACTTTTGAATGATCACCATTCTAACTGGTGTGAGATGGTATCTCATTGTGGTTTTGGATTTGCATTTCTCTGATGGCCAGTGATGATGAGCATTTTTTCATGTGTCTGTTGGCTGTATGAATGTCTTCTTTTGAGAAGTGTCTGTTCATATCCTTTGCCCACTTTTTGATGGGGTTGTTTGTTTTTTTCTTGTAAATTTGTTTGAGTTCTTTGTAGGTTCTGGATATGAGCCCTTTGTCAGATGAGTAGATTGCAAAAATGTTCTCCCATTCTGTAGGTTGCCTGTTCACTCTGATGGTAGTTTCTTTTGCTGTGCAGAAGCTCTTTAGTTTAATGAGATCCCATTTGTCAATTTTGGCTTTTGCTGCCGTTGCTTTTGGTGTTTTAGACGTGATGTCTTTGCCCATGCCTATGTCCTGAATGGTACTACCGAGGTTTTCTTCTAGGATTTTTATGGCATTAGGTCTAACATTTAGGTCTCTAATCCATCTTGAATTAATTTTCGTATAAGGAGTAAGGAAAGGATCCAGTTTCAGCTTTCTACTTATGGCTAGCCAATTTTCCCAGCACCATTTATTAAATAGGGAATCCTTTCCCCATTTCTTGTTTCTCTCAGGTTTGTCAAAGATCAGATGGCTGTAGATGTGTGGTATTACTTCTGAGAACTCGGTTCTGTTCCATTGGTCTATATCTCTGTTTTGGTACCAGTACCATGCTGTTTTGGTTACTGTAGCCTTGTAGTATAGTTTGAAGTCAGGTAGCGTGATGCCTCCAGCTTTGTTCTTTTGACTTAGGATTGTCTTGGAGATGTGGGCTCTTTTTTGGTTCCATATGAACTTTAAAGCAGTTTTTTCCAATTCTGTGAAGAAACTCATTGGTAGCTTGATGGGGATGGCATTGAATCTATAAATTACCTTGGGCAGTATGGCCATTTTCAGAATATTGATTCTTCCTATCCATGAGCATGGTATGTTCTTCCATTTGTTTGTGTCCTCTTTTATTTCACTGAGCAGTGGTTTGTAGTTCTCCTAGAAGAGGTCCTTTACATCCCTTGTCAGTTGGATTCCTAGGTATTTCATTCTCTTTGAAGCAATTGTGAATGGAAGTTCATTCATGATTTGGCTCTCTGTTTGTCTGTTACTGGTGTATAGGAATGCTTGTGATTTTTGCACATTAATTTTGTATCCTGAGACTTTGCTGAAGTTGCTTATCAGCTTAAGGAGATTTTGGGCTGAGACAATGGGATTTTCTAAATATACAATCATGTCATCTGCAAAGAGGGACAATTTGACTTCTTCTTTTCCTAACTGAATACCCTTGATTTCTTTCTCTTTCCTAATTGCCCTAGCCAGAACTTCCAACACTATGTTGAATAGGAGTGGTGAGAGAGGGCATCCCTGTCTTGTGCCAGTTTTCAAGGGAATTTTTCCAGTTTTTGCCCATTCAGTATGATATTGGCTGTGGGTTTGTCATAAATAGCTCTTATTATTTTGAGGTACGTTCCATCAATACCGAATTTATTGAGCGTTTTTAGCATGAAGGGCTGTTGAATTTTGTCAAAAGCCTTTTCTGCGTCTATTGAGATAATCATGTGGTTCTTGTCTTTGGTTCTGTTTATATGCTGGATTATGTTTATTGATTTGCAAATGTTGAACCAGCTTTGCATCCCAGGGATGAAGCCCACTTGATCATGGTGGATAAGCTTTTTGATGTGCTGCTGAATCCGGTTTGCCAGTATTTTATTGAGGATTTTTGCATCGATGTTCATCAGGGATATTGGTCTAAAATTCTCTTTTTTTGTTGTGTCTCTGCCAGGCTTTGGTATCAGCATGATGTTGGCATCATAAAAAGAGTTAGCGAGGATTCCCTCTTTTTCTATTGATTGGAATAGTTTCAGAAGGAATGGTACCAGCTCCTCCTTGTACCTCTGGTAGAATTCAGCTGTGAATCCATCTGGTCCTGGACTTTTTTTGGTTGGTAGGCTATTAATTATTGCCTCAATTTCAGAGCCTGCTATTGGTCTATTCAGGGATTCAACTTCTTCCTCGTTTAGTCTTGGAAGAGTGTATGTGTCCAGGAAATTATCCATTCTAGATTTTCTAGTTTATTTGCGTAGAGGTGTTTATAGTATTCTCTGATGGTAGTTATAACCCAGTGTTTTAAGCTGAAAGCAACCTAACACATTTTACCTACACCAAACAACAAAAAGCAAAAAGAAACCTACTAATTATGCTATGCTTTAATTTTGTCCCCTTGCTTCTTAAGTATTACTCATTTCTACTTATATATTTTTGCCCTGTTGGTATCTTGAAATGTTGTTTTAGTTATTATTTTTACTAGTTCATTATTTTCTATGAAGAGTAACATTTTTTACACACCACAGTTTAACACTGTTATAATATTCTGGGTTTTTCTGTGTACTTACTATAGTTAGTGAGTTTTGTGTGGTTAGGTGATTTCTTATTAATTTTTGCATAGTTTTCTTTCTGATTGAACTACTTCCTTTAACATTTTTTGTAGGACAGGTCTGGTGTTGATGAAATCCCTTGGTGTTTGTTTGTCGAAGGGAGTCTTTATTTCTGCTCTTTGTTTGAAGAATAATTTTGCTGGATGTAGTATTCTAGGGTAAAAGTTTTTTCCCTTCAGCACTTTAAATATGTAATGTCCATCTCTTCTTGTCTGTGATGTTTACAGTGAAAAGTCGGCTACCAGACATACTGGAGCTTCATTGTATCTTATTTGTTTCTTTTCTCTTGCTGCTTCTAGGATCTTTTTTTAATCCTTAACCTTTGGGTGTTTGATTATTAAATTTTCAGAGATAGTATTTTTTTTGGGGGGGGGGTTAAAGGTGCTTGGTGTCATATAACCCTGTTGTACTTGGATATTGATATCTTTCTCTAGATTTTGGAACTTCTCTGTTATTATCCCTTTGAATAAACTTTCTATTCCTATCTTTTTTCTATGATTTCTTGAATGTTAATAACAGATTTGCCATTTTGAATCTATTTTCTAGATCATGGCATGCTTCATTTTTAAAATTCTTTTGCTCCTCTGACTGTGTATTTTTAAATAGTCTGTCTTCAAGCTCACTAATTATTTCCTCTGCTTGAAACATTTTTCTACTAAAAGACTGATACATTTTTCAGTATGCCAATTGAATTTTTCAATTTTAGAATCTCTAGTTGATTGTTTTTAATTTGTAAAATCTTTTTGTTAATCTGATAGAATTCTGAATTTCTTTTCTGTGTTATCTTGAATTTCTTTGAGTTTCCTCAATA